TAGTCCATATTACTGATTTAGTATCTCATAAAATTGAAATACAGGTAGTCCTTGTTTGGCTACCACAATGGGGAGCAATAACTTGGTTGTTAAGCAAAGCGGTCGTTAAGTGGAACCGCAACTGTGCTTATGATCTTACTTCAGCTTTCCTTTGCTTTACAGACCTGCAAAGGTCATAAATATGAAGAATGGTCACAAAATTACTTTTTCATCACCATTGTCACTATGAACAGTCACTGTATGAGACCAGGACAACCTATATAGTCTATGTTAACTAAACCCAAATTTTGGATGCAGTACCAATCCATTGTTTAATTTATAATCTAAAAATGGTTCCAGTAAGTCGAAATCTCTATCAGGTTTGCTTTTAAGGTAGGAAATTGTTCTAGATATTGAAACTTATTCTGATCCACTGAAGGTGTCAGACAACCTTTCCATGTTGTTGGTTTTCAGAAGGCCGTCGGTTCGTCTCAGAGGAGAGCCAGCAAAAGGCTCTGTATGACAGATTGCTGCAAGGTAAGAGGGCCCGTGGATGGAAAGTGGATGACCCCTTTATCAAATGGTGAACTTGCTGTTCCCCAGCCTGACTCCCTTCAGTTGCATTTGGACTGCAACTCCCAGAATTCCCAGATCAGGCCAATGAGTCTGGAAGACCCACGGTTGAGGAAGGCTGCTCTGCCTACTCATAGAAATGTTGGGATTCAAAGAATGAGAATGAAGTTATTAAAACATTAACCTTGAAATCTTATAATTCAAAGAAAGGAAACTGGTAGAATGGAACCCCAACTTCAAGAACGAACTTTTATACAGAATGGTTGGCATTGCAGTGGCAGGCTATGAAAATGCTCAAAGTCTGAAGAAGTGCAGATAAGTACACAGATGGAAGCCAGCTCTCTCATCACAACATTCAAGGTGGCTAGGAATTCCAATAATGTATAAGAAATGACTGCTGTAAGGGTTCCAATGGACCACTTTCCTTTCAATGAGTGTAATGGGCTCTTCTTTCTGACTTTATTAATGTGCTTTCTTCCAGTCAATGAGGTAACAAAAAGTACATCTGTATACTTTGCACAGTCCTTATTGCCAAGCCCTATTCAGCTCTCAGCAGTGAAGCTAGGGAGTGGTGCGATCCTTAGAGACTTAATGCGGGATAAATTAAGGAAAGCAATGTGTGAATTCCTCTGGCATTACCTATGGGTTGGTATCCCATCACTCTCCCTTAAGGGATGGGTTGGTATCCC